CTTGGCCCCTTTCAGATGTGTATGCATCTCCCACAGCTGAGGAGTGTCCTTCTCAGGGACCTGAAGCCTTTCCCTGGAAATGTCACTATCAGGAAGGAAATCGGGAAGGACAGGGCCTCTGTCTCTGGTCTCTTGAGAGATCAAATCTAGACTTGGATAGCTGCCAGCCGGCGGACACCACTGGCCCCAGGACATTGATACAGACCAACTCTTTGTAATTTTTCTCCTGAGTCCCGAGTAGCCCCTCCTCCCTAAGCCCCCACTCCCCCGTTGAAATGCCCAGTCACCACTTTACAAACTGAAATGCAGCTCAGCTCTTCCCTCACGATCAGAAGTTACTGAACAAAATGTTTTTATCATTTTACTTAATGTCCCGCTTTGTTCATCTTTGACAGCCTCAGCATAGGGACTCCGCATGATTAGGTGCTATTGAATCTCAGTTCAGATACGTTATTTCTGCGCAGTGTGGACACCAACTTAGTGATATGATGAGTGACAGTTATTATTAATCCTGAGAAACTAGTGTAGTTAGGCCTGTGGCCTAGCAAGTGTGTGGTTACATCCCATCAATTAAAACTCTCCCACTTAGGTGAAGAGGAAGGCTAGATTTTTACAAAACTATTTTTGAATATCCTGTTTTGTTTTTTAACTTTTTAAAAATTCAAGTGCACAAAATGTTTACAGCTCATTTAATTATCACAAACTGAACGCATCTATATAATGGCAACTCAGGGCAGGAAATACATCATTCCCCCATTCCCCCATTCCCCGTGCAGTCACTAAGCCCTCCTGTTACCCCAAGGTAACCACTACCTTTTCTTCTAACAGCACGGGTTACTTTTGCCTGCTTTAACCTTTATATAAGTGAAATTTTAAAAATATACATTGTTTGTCTCTTTGTGAAAAGTTACATGTCAGATTTACCCATTTATTGTGTGTGTGGCTATAGTTTCTTCCCTTTTATTGTTAAATTACTCCATTGCATGAGTAGATCACAATGTATCCATTCTGCTATTGAAAAACATCTAGATTTCCAGTTTTGGGTTATTTGTAAATAATACTGCTATAAACATTCTTAAACATGCCTGGGTACACACTTACATGCATTTCTTGGTATTTCTTGGTACCATCCCTTGGTATTATTGGTCTTTTCAATTGTGGCCATTCTGGTGGGTGTGATTTCAATTTGTATTTCTTTGTATACTAATGAGATTGAGAGCCTTTCATATGTTTATTGGGTATTTTAATATTCCCTTTTTTCTTGGTCTTTAAAAAATTGTGTTGTCAGTCTTTTTCTTAGCGAGTTGTATAGATTCTATATCAAGTGCTTTTGCTAGTTACAGGTGTTGCAAATATTAGTTCTCACTCTCTGGCTTGCCTTTTCACTCTTTTAATGGCATGTATTTTGTGCAACTTTTTTACTTGTTTTCAGTGCGAGCGTTCAGGACCATCGAGGCAACCATTGCCAGGCGCAGGACTTAGCCTCCGTTTTGATCAGCACAGTTGATGCCAGTAATGAATGGATTGTGATGAAGACTGAGCCATCGTCAGTGGGCGTTAGTTTGAAAAGTTTTTTAAAAGACAGCAAGCTGGGGAGGAAGCTGATTCTGGCAGTGTAAGATTTAATGAGCAAAAACACTAGGGGAAAAGCATGGTCTGAGTGGGCACCTAAGGTACTCTAGGGCTGTTCTTAGGTGTTAGCACTCATGAGGAGGAGGAAACTCATCCAACCAGTTCTTGGGAGACTTACATGAGAAAATGTGTAAGAAAGTTTTTGATATATACCTAAAATATTAAAATCAGATTGAAATTACTTAATGGTTTTGCCCAGGGACTAGTCTGATTGTGTGTGTGTGTGTGTGTGTGTTAGCAATTCTACCTTATCACAGGGAGAGTCACACAGGAAGTAATTTAGAGTTAGATTTAAATTTCTTATATTCTTAGTAGCGCCTTGATGATTTCTCCCTCTTGAAGTTGTAAAAGGGCCTCGTAAGATGATAGAATTTACCTGTATAGATAGCCCTTTCCTTTCTGGTAGTCTTACAGGAGGAATGATTGTCCAGGGTTCATCACTGACTTGGAGCTTCTTCCAACTCAGTGGTTCTTGACCCTAATTGCACATTAAAGTTAGCTACAGATCTTTAAGAAAAAAATTGCTGGCTCCTGGTGCTATCCCAGGCCTGGGTATTGGGGGTCTTTACAAGCCCCACCGGTGATTCTCAAGGGCAGCCGGGTGGAACCGCGGCTGAGGCTGCAGAGACAAGGCTGTCCACCAGATGGCGACAGAGCACTTCTCCCCGGAAAGGCTCCGCACAGCCCACTCCGGGACTTCACAGCTGCGGCAGCTCCAACTTATGTAATGGACCGAGCAGGGCAGACGTGGGAAGGTAGGGAAAATGACCTTCAGCACTGCTGCTTGCCAGCCACAGGTATTCTTGCCACCCCTGGGGAAAATTCTACAAACTAACTTAAAAAATAATATGTGGGTAAAAATATGTCTTCATCCAATGAACTGAACCAGCACCTAGAAATATTTTCAACCCTTGTCCTAGCTCACTTTGATAAAATAGACCATATAAAAAAGGATGGCATTATTGTTCATATAGAATGGAAGATTTTGACATAAGATTGCTCCAAGAATTGTGCAAATAGAAAGCAACATCAGCATGAGTGAATTAGCTAAAGATACGCTCACAGATATTTTAGGAAATACACAGATTGCAAGGTATGTACCCAAAATAAGATCCAGTCCTCTTCCTGAAAATCTGAAGGGTTTCTGATGGAACACTTCATCCAACAATACCAGGACACACATGCTTCTCAAGTGCAAAGGGAACATTCTCCAGGACAGACCGTATGTTTGTCCACAAACCAAATCGTAATAAATTTTAAAAGCTTGATAGTATACAAACTATCTTTTCTGATCACAATGGAGCAAAACCAGATATAAATAACAGAAGGTAAAGTGGAAAAATAACAAGTATGTGAAAATTAAACAACATACACTTAACCAATGAGTCAAGAGAGAAATCACAGGGGAAATTAGAATATATCATGAGACAAATAAAAATACAACATACCAAAAATTATGGTATGCAGCAAAAGCAGTGCCAAGAGGGAACTTTATAGCTGTATATACATATATTAACAAACAAGAAATGTCTCAAATCAGTAACCTAACCATATACCTTAAATAAAAAGGAGAGCAAACCAACCCAAAAGGTAACAGAAGAAAATAATGTAGATTAGAGAGGAAATAAATAAAATACAGAATAGAAAAACAGTAGGGAAAAATCAACAAACCCAAAATCTGGTTCTTTAAAAAAAGTCCGCAAAATGTGTGGGCACAGACTTACTCATAATATCCCTCTGTTACCGTACTTTTGATGCCTTGTGGGGTCAGTGTATCAATTTTATTGATCTTTTCCAAGAACCAGCTTTTGGTTTTCTTGATTTCCTCTGTTGATTTCCTGTCTTCAATATCATTGATTTTGTGCTCTAATTTTATTATTTCTTTTCTTCTAGTTACTTTGTGTTTAATTTGCTGTTCCTTTCTAGCTCACTAAGGTGGAAGCTTTTCATTGTAGGTCTGTCTGCTCTTCTAATCTACACCTCCAATGCTATACATTTCCCTCTAGCACTGCTTTTGCTGTGCCCTACAAATTTTGATAAGTTGTACTTTTACTTTCATTTAATTAAAAAAAAAAAATTCAAATTTCTCTTGAGATTTCTTCTCTGACCCATGTGTTATTTGGAAGTACGGTGATTAAGCTGCTGCTATTTGGGAGGATCTTCCAGGCCTCTTTTTGTTGTGGATTTCAGGTTTCATCCCACCGCAGCCCGAGAGCATGCTCTGCAG